ATATCCACATACTTGTTTTGCAAAGAGAAAATATTTTCTGTGTTACAAATGGAATTATATATCGATTTCGGTACTAGATTTAAATCAGTAAAAAATAAAAACATTGACAAGATTCAGCTAAGACTTAAGGAGTATTTTACCAAAAAAAATCTGCCCCATGGAGTTGTTTTAAAATCTTGAACAACTGGCCATTCTTTCTCTTACTTATACAATCCTGTTTTAACTATTTTTATACTTTGAATGAACAAAGAAGTTTGTACTCAAAATCTTTCTTACTTATGCTCTACTGACAAGACTTAGTGAAAATATAAACTGAATTGATAAGCTACTAAACTATTAATTTCTGACAGTTATACTGTGACCTGATAGAAATATGTTATAAGTGCAGCCTAATACTGCCATTTTAAAGATATTTGTGATATGACATTTTCGATATAAATTCACAGAAAAACCAGAAAATTAAATTTACAACACTAAAAGTGATCTCTTGAAAATTTTAATAATTAAAATTGAGATGAAATTTTGTTTTAACACTGGCTACATTTCACTAATCCTTATCAAATCTTCTTCAAATCACAACTGAAAAATAAAAATAAAAATAAAATTGTGCTCAGTTTTACTTACTTGAGTACAAGGGTCGTATATTTCTAGATTCAGTTGCTTCCCTTCCAAACACAAATGCTTATTATAGATAGATTCTGCAAAAACATATATATATTCATTGTCAGAATAAAAAACTTCAGAATAAAAAAATGGACTCACATCTGGACCACAGTTTAGTAAAATCAACCGGTCATATTTCAGTGCAATACTACAGTAGCTTTTATTCATGTCTAGTATCCAGACATATGTATTTGTTCTATTTACTCAGATATTTTTCTACAAAAGAACTTTACCTCTCTCTCTATTTATCTACATGGCTTTTTGCTCATGTACTTATCCTATTACTATGGATGGAGTGAAATATCGGGGTTCCTATCTAAGGCCAATTCATTCTCCCTCAACTAGTTGTGACTTCCCCTCACCTACTGTAAGAAATTACTTCAGCAATTCTACCTCTCTCTTCTGCATCATGATTTTTTTCTTCTTTGCTTTATTATTACCAACATCTTACAAACATGCTGAATTTCTCCTAACTTAAAGATGTTGAGACTCAGTGGTCAGTTCTGTGTCTTAATCCCATTTGCTCTATCAGTAGCATTAATGTAGCTAATCACTCCTGCGTCCTTAAGATATTTCCTTCAAAGCAACACACTCTCCTGTTTGTCTATTTCAATCTTTTTCCCTTTTGCTCCATCTTAGTAATTTTTATTTGTCCCACCATAACTTCCCTCACTCCAAACATAGATCCAGTTCACAGATGTCTTCTTTACCTATGCTCCTTTGCTGATCTCATCCAGTCCCAAGCCTTTCTATACAATTATTACTGATGAACCCAACTTAAAACTGAACCCCTGATTTCCCTGCAAAAACTTCATCTTCCACAGTTTTATTTTGTTAAATAGCCTACACATAACTCCAGTTTTTCAGGTAAAAATGCTTTAAGATCATCTTTGATTCTTTCTTTCTCTTACACCCCAATTTTATTGTATTAAAAATTCCTTTTTACTCTACCTTCAAAGTATATTTTTTGTTTGTTCGTTTTTGGTTTTTTTATTGAAACAAATTTGATTATACGTATTTGTGGGGTACAGAGTTGACTATCAATATTTGTGTATGGTATGTGATGATCAAATCAATAATTAGCATATTCATCATTACAGAATGTAGTCGTCCTTTGTGTCCATTAACTGGTTTCTCGCTAACCCCCATTCCCTCCCTCTTTCCCACCTCTAGTAACCATAGTTCTGTTCACTTCTGAAAGTTCAATGTATTATTGTGATTGTTCTTCCTTTTTTCTTTTTTCTTTTTTTAACTTTTAGCTTCCACTTATGAGTGAGGACGTGAGGTATTTCTCTTTCTGTACCTGGCTTATTTCACTTAACATGATTTTCTCCAAGCTCATCCATGTTGCTACAAATGGCAGAATTTCATTCTTTTCTATGGCTGAGTGTATAAGCTTTTGCAAAGTATATTTTGAATTTGTCTGCATCTCACCACCTCCATTGCTAACACTCTAATCCAAGCCACTATTATCTCTTGCTTAGATTATTGTAAAATTTCCACTAATCTCTCTGCTTTCATCCCTCCCCTAACTCCCTTCCTGTCCCCAGTTTGTTCTCAACACAGGAGCAGAAGTGTACCTTGTAGCCAGATCTGATACTTGTGGAATCAAATTGCTCCAGTGGCTCCCCATCTCACTTGGGTTAAACCGAAGCCTTGAAAATGTCCAAGAATATCCTTTAGTATCTAGTCCGTCGCTACTACTGTGACCTCAGTGCATCTCTCTGGCTATTATCTCTCACGTTCTCCCCACTAGCCTTCGTACCATTCTTCAGATTTTTCAGAAATTTCCTGTTTCAAAACTCTGGTGATTGTTCTTTCCTCTGCCTGGCACTTAATCCCCTTAATATCTTCATGTCTTGATCTTCACCGTGTCTCTGTTCAAATGTCACCGTCTCAGTAAAGTCTACCCTGCCTATCCTATTTTAATTTGCCACATGCCATATTGGTGTCACTCCCTTGTCTAGATTTATCTTTTCTTCATAGAATTTACCAACATATGTTATAATTTATATTTAATTATTTTTCCCAAATTGACTCAACCTTCCCTCCTGATTGTAAACCCCATGAAGGATTGGATATTTGTCTTTTTGTTCACTTCTGTACCCTCTCCACCTGGAAGAGTATATGGGACACAGTAGTTGCCCAATAAATACTTGTTGAATAAGTGAATGAATTCAGTTCTATAATTTTCCTGTAGTGTTTTGATAAAAGATCTAGTTCTCTACAAAATAGAATACTGACACAAAATCGTGACCCATTCTGGCAAATACTCTGTAACCTGTAGTTGAAAACTAGAGCAGAAGTTTGGGGAGCTACTGTCTCCCCAGAAGGTTAAGGTCGACTCTTTAAATCCTTCCCTTCCCCAGAGTATTAGGATTGACATATTAAATCCTTCCAAGTTACATTTAATAAAATGTATAGTTTTATCAAAACTGAAATTATGTTCTCAGACAGTTTCTTCTAAACTTCATAGATTTGCTATCGACTCTGGAGCATAAAATTTCCTTTTAGACATTTTGAAATATCTACTCTCAGATCTTAAACACTGCCACAAGGGTCATCAACGCTCAAAATTTTTAGAATTGTATTATTTTCCATGCTAGCCTTTACTTACTAGATAGACTCATTTTTGCTTGTTTGCCCTCACAGACTTGATGATCCTTTGATCATTTGGTTGGCTGTTCAAAATATCTCTAGGTCTTAGATTATTAATTGAGAAATATTAGCCAGAAATGTGTCAACATTTCACTTGTTTCTGTAACAGTATTGTATAAATGATTTAGGTGAGGTTTTTTGTTGTTGTTGTTATTGTTGTATGAATGCTGTATTGTTTTATTTATGCTTTGTTTTACTTTTTAATTCTGAAGCATTGTTTCATGCCTGATTACACAGCTTGTTTGTTATGTTGACAATTTTTTTCCTTCTTGATCAGTTTTTATTTTTATTTGTATTTTTTTAATTATACATACGTGTGGTGCACGATGTTGATTTTCAGTAATTGTGTTGAATGTGTGGTGTTTAGATCAGTATAGTTGGCTTATTCATCATTACAATATGCAATCATTCTTCACATCCATTAACCAATTCCTCATTAGCCCCCCTTCCTCTCCCCCTCCCCTCCCCTTTTCCACCTCTAGTTTTCTAAAAGTTCAACATATTACTGTGATTGTTGTTTCCTTCTCTTTCTCTCTGTCTCTCTTTATTGTCATTCATTTGTTTATGGCTTCAGCTTCCAGTTACTAGTGAGAATGGGATTGGATTATATAAACTAAAAACCTTCTGCAGAACAAAGGAAACAATCAATAAAGTGAAAAGACATCCTACGGAATGGGAGAAAACGTTTGCAAACTATACATCTGGCAAGAGATTAATACCCAGAATATACAAAGAGCTCAGACAATTTTACAGCAAAACAACAAATAATCCAATTTAAAAATGGGCAAAGGAGCTAATTCGACATTTCTCAAAGGAAGACATACGAACGGCCAACAGGTATATGAAAAATGCTCAACATCACTAATCATCAGGGAAATGCAAATCAAAACCACTTTGAGATATCACCTCACCCCAATGAGACTGGCTATTATAAAAATGACAGAGACTAACAAATGCTGGTGAGGAGGTGGAGAAAGAAGAACCGTCCTGCACTGTTGGTGGGACTGTAAATTAGTACAGCCTTTATGGAGAAGAGTACAGAGGTTCCTTAAACAACTACAGATAGAACTTCCACATGATCCAGCAATTCCGCTACTGGGGATATATTCAGAGCTTATGTTGACCTTTTGTCTGAGGTTGTTGCACTCAGAAATGAAACAATAGGAATTTTTAAAATCTATATTCCTTCTTTCTATAAAACTTTTCATGCTCCTGTTCTAAACTGTTCACTATGTTGGGCTGGCAGGTTAGCTCAGTTGTTTAGAGCACAGCATAATAGCCCCAAGGTTAGGGATTCAGTTCCCCCTACAGGCCAGCCATCAATCAATCAATCAATCAATCAATTAATCAATTGATTAATTGTTCACAATGTCATGTGGACTGAAGTACTCTCTTAGATACAGATAGGGACTACACAATACCATACTTTAAGGTTATTTTCTGAAATACTCTAATAATGTTACCGCATAAATGAATGCTGAAGATTTATTTTTTGTTTCTCACAGAAAAACACACTTGCAATCATAAATTCCTCTTACACTAAGTAATATTAAACAAAAAATAATTCCTCTTTCTCCCAGTTCTCATGCTTTCTATAATTCTGTCACTCTTATTTAAAACAAACAAATTTGTTTTCCCTTATCTCTATGCTTTCAATCAGGTAAGATAGTAGTATCATTATATTGATTAATGGCTGAGCCAAAAATATACTTAAAGTTTTGGCAAAATTCCTCACTTCTTATGCTGTGAAATTTCCCATGTGTCACAATAATTCTTATAACAATAACAAAAATTTATAGCAGACTTAGTGAAATGACCCTAAGATTATATCAAGGTGCCCTGGCATCTGTTTTAGAATTTCTCTGAAATTTATATAAACAATGTAGATAATAATAATATGATATTTAATCAAGGCACACTTTTCTCATTATTTTCACATTTTTTGCAATAAACTTTACTTTGTAGATACTTGTGCTTTTAGCATTGATTTGTCTTAATCTTCTAACAAGTGTTGATTTAATTTCAAAATTGCTTCATAGCTTATAAGAAACATTCATACTCACATATTCTATGATATTTTGGAGAGAGGATCCCAGTTTTAATGTTTTTCTGGTTTGAGACTTTGAAACCATCTAGCTTTCTAATTCATCTTAATTAACATCAAATTGGGTGAGTTTTTCATAAAAGATCATTCAATTCAAGTACCTATTCTGACTTTTCTAACCAGAATCTGTGAATAAATAGATTTCTTAGTAAGTGTAAAAATGGCAGATTATATCAAAAGTTTCCTTCCCTTTAATTGGGGTTTCATTATGATGTTGACATTTTAAGGTAGAAAAAAGTCTAGAATAGTGACTTACCAAAATTAGAAGCATATTCTCCAATGAATCGCTTGGTAAGAAACCGTACAGTAAGGGCTGCAAAACAAACAAGCTGGATTTAGGGTCTGTTGTGGTTTAGTATAAATATAATTTAGATATGTACATAAGGTTTTGTCTTTCAGCTCAAAAATGACCATGACTTAATGAAGACCCTAAAATTCTACTAAATTCTGGCCTGAATAATAATAGTCAACAATATTTCCATGGAAAAACTATAATGATTAGAAAGCCAGAAAGAAAGAGGTCTTCAAGTGTGAGTACTGCACGTTCAAATCAATATCTAGTTAATTGATGAATGCAAAAATATGTGAGTACTTGCACTTGCTTAAGGACATAAGGACTTAAAAATCCAGGAAGTAGGGAAAAAACCTATAGTGTCAGTTTACTTTATTGCAGCTCCTAAGTCAGCCAGTGATTATGTCATGTCTCACTAGGCTCAAATGGCTCTATGGGTGATGTCCTCATTACCAAAATAATGTAGACAAAACCAAAGCAAAATAAAACAAAGCTGAAACATAGCTTCCAAACTTAGGACACACGTTGCTCAATTCCAGCGCATCCACAGAGCCACACCCCTACAAACATTTTTCACTTAGGTAATGCTGCATTTAAGAAATGATTCACAGGTCTTCATGCCTCTTTCTCTACCTTAGTCTCTGAGCAGAAGAGTCCTTTAAAGGCCATTGTATGGGGGGCTGGTGTGTTGCAGTGAGAAGTAGGTGCAATAGTGATGGAGAGATTTCCTGTTATTCCTATAAAGTTTAAATATCAGTAGAATAAGATACAAATTAGTACTTCAAATAATCTTGCTACACTTGCCTATACATTTCTATACACATACAGTTAAAATGAAAACTCCTAATGAAAAATAATGTGCATAAATCTCAGTAAGAAAATTAGACAAGAAGGATAGATAGATGACAGGTAAATAGATAAACACGTCAATGTGCGTTTCCCTCCTTCTGCACTCCACACTAAACCACAGGAAACCGCAACACTCACCAGATTTGCCTGTGCCTTCCCCACCCAAGACAGCAAGCTTCACCTCATTCATCTTGCTTTTCTGCTCCTTCTTGGTCAGTCCTGTCGTTTAGAACTATGCTGACTTGTGCCAAGCATATGTTTTTTTTACTTCCTTTTTATTGCTTCTCTCATTTCTCCAAGACCAACTCCAGCCCATAATCCTACCATCCAATAGGAACTTTAAAAATGTTTTTCTAGAGTAGTTTTCAACATATTCCATTTTTAAAAAATTGGAGTTACTATTTAAACACTAAGGCTCATTAAGCCCATAGTTATGTATTTGGAACAGAAGCTTAGGTCCCAATCTTTTATTTTTGTGAACTTGGAATCCACCTTTTCCTAGGACTTAGAAAAATGATCTCTTTTCATTTATAAAGTTTTTAGAGGATAGGTAAGCCTCTTTGTAAATTTACTTTGATTGGATCGGTTTTGTTGTTTCAATTAATACCTGAGCCTATATCTTCTAGGATTTCTTCTGTGAAAGACATGTGGAAATAAGATAATTCAGTCATGAAAAGAAATAAGAGAAAAAAGAGGATAACTATCTAGGATTTCTGAGTTTAGTTTTGATAGCAATGCAAACAAATGTTCAGACCATGTTTGAGAATTTATGAGGTTCTCAAGGAAAAAAAAAATGTGCTCTGCAGAGTTTCAACCTTTCGATGTCTTCCTTAGTAAGTAATTTCTCATTTTTAAAAAATGTTACACCAGTAGTAGTAATATTTGTGGGGAAAAAGTAAAGCAATCAACCTCATGTTGTTTGAAAAGAAGTAAACAGGAGCCTGTCATATTTCCTTCTGTAGCCAAAAAGGAAATTGGAATTAGAAAAGAGACATGAAAACGGGGGAAAAATTGGAAGGGGTATTCTTATATAATTTATTCCTGCTGTGTAATAAAGATGTACATTTAGCATGCTAAATCAGGAGTCTTTCATACTTTCATACTCCACATAGCCCATTATTTCTTTCCTCTTCTCTCTCCCTATTTATAGATTTATAAACTTTACAACAAATAGAAGAATTCAGCCTCTGTGTGTACAATTTTGAGGCTTAAGTGAAGGAATTGTATTTTCAGGCTGAGCTGATCATAGAAGTAACAATATGCTTTTTAAAAATAAAATTAACAAACACTTCTTAATTACCATTGTATTTTAAAGTTATGTTATGTTTATGAGGTCAATGGTTAAATACTGAATTTCTTCCCTAATGCAGTCTAAAGCCTATTCAAAGAAAAATGGAAACAATTATAAGTACAATAAATATGATTGTTGCTCAAATAGGGCTTTAAGGACTGGGGAAAGCAAAGCAGTGGATAGAAAGGTCTTTAAAAAGTGGGGAAAGCTTGAAACATGAGCAGCACCCAGAGAGGGAAGAAAAATAGATTGGGGATTAGGGAGATGTGTCTATTCCAATAGAAGAAACAAACTCTGTAAAGGAAAAAGGGCAAGAGCAAGAATGTCAATTTGTGGGATCAACAAGGTAACAGTTGATGCAACTTAGATTCTTCTTTTTATTGCAAATTCTAAGAAAAAAAAAAATGCTGTGTTCTTTAATTTGAGCAACTACATTACAATGAATTTTTTTTTTTTTTGTCCTGTTTTTTTGAGACTGGCTGCACCGCGCTCAGCCAGTGAGCGCTGTGAGTGCACAGGTCATCCCTATATAGGATCTGAACCCGCAGCGGGAGCACTGCGGCACTCTCAGCGCTGCACTCTCCCGAGTGCGCCACGGGCTCGGCCCACAATGATTTTTTTTTAATTAAGGAAGTTTACCAGCTGATTTATTATGGTATGGAATTGAATTTTTTTTTTCTCTGTCTTATTAAGTAACTTCTGGTTGATGTAAATAGGAAGTTGAGGGCATCTACATGATATTGAAAACAGCATATAAGTTACTGTTGTCCAGATACATGCTTCTTTCATCATAGCCTCTTCCTCCCTACTTTCACTTGAATTCCAAAAGCTCTAATAAGAAAGAAGCCTGGTGTTGGAATAAAGTTATAAACCTTAACAGAGATAATAAAATCATGCACATGCTTTTCTAAGAACCAGAGTGTCAATAATTGGAGGGCCTCATATAAAGGGTGACAAAAATAATCAATATTCAACCATCTCAAGAATGGGACCTGGAGAGGACTTTCAGTCAAGATGGCAGAATAGATAGTCCCCAGCATCATCCTTTCCCACAATCAACCAATTTGCAACTAATAAAAAGCAATGACTCCCAAGCTGGGGCCACTAGAGCTCAGGAGAAGAGGAGGAGAGACCAACAGAGTGCATGAAGGCAGGAGAAGCCATGAGGAGAGAAAGAAAGGGCTACCCCAACTGTTTCAAGGCTAGCCCAGGTGAGCACACAGAGCAAGAACTGGCAAAAGCTGCAGCTGTGCCCTTCAGATGAAGTTTCTTGGAAGCTAAAGGGGAGAAGAGGGCCTTGGTGGCCCCCAGGCCAGCGAGACCACTAACAGTATTCCGGTGGAACCACATAGGAGTGAGGATTCACAGGCAACTGAAAAAAGGAGCCACTCATAGGCCAGTGAGTCATCGCAAGGGACTGGCACACGGGAAGTGTTTGGAGTGTGGGCAGTGGGGGAGACAGGCCCACCAGGAAAACAGCATGGACAGCTGATCTGCCCTCCAATCAGCACAGGCCCAGTCAGTGTAGACTTGTCAGGAATATAAAATTCCAGAAGGTGTAGTTTGCTGAAAAGCCTCAGGCCCGGACCAGAATTTCCACACAACCCAGGTGTACTAGACCTCAAAATACCCAGAAGTGCTTTCAAGGTCAACAGTTAAAACCCAAACTGCACAAAAAGCCTTCCCCAAGGAGTCAGCAGCAAAGCAGCAATTTAGCTCAACCACAGAGGGAATTAGGAAGTTCGCCCATTGTAGAAGTAAGCAAAGGACAACAAATTAGTTCCAGTGCAGAGTTTGGGTGGTGGAAATAGTGAATAATCCAACATGGAACTGAAAGAAAAAAAACAAAACTCATAGATCAGAGACAAAGTTCTGATATTAACCTGATGTTAAGGTTAAGTTCTGATGTCAAAGGTCTAACACCATCAAAGAACACCTATAAAACCTAGAAGGACCAGAAGCCACCCAGGCTCCCAAGCCAGGATAGACAGATGGCCGAGGGCCTCAGCCATACTCCCTGCCCCTGATGACTGTATCCAGCCCAGCAATGACCACCAGAAGCAGCCTGGGCTTCCATGCTGGGGTGGCTGAGGCTCTCAGCACCCACCCACAATGTCCACATAAAGCCCAGCAATGACTACTGAGCCACTGCTGGAAGTGCCCTGGGCTCCCGAGGGCCTCAGTCACACAATCCCCAACATTTACACCCAGCTCAGCAACAACCACCAAGCCACTGATGGAAGTACCCTGGGCTCCTGAGTTAAGGTAGTGGGGAGCCAAGGGCTTGAGTCATGCCCCCCCTCCGACATGAGTACGCAGCTCAGTGATGACCACTGGAAATGTCCTGGGCTTCTGAGCTGGGGTACTGGGGGGCAGAGGGCCTCATCCACAGCCCCTGACATCTGCTCCCAGCCCAGCAATGACCACTAAGCTGGAGCCAGAAGTGCCCTGGGCTCCCAAGCCAGGGTTGTAGGGGGCCAAGGTCCTCAGCCATGCCCCTTCAACCTCCACTTACAGCCCAGTGATGACCAAGACCCCAGCAGAAGCCCCCTGGGGCTCACCTGCCAGAATGAGCGGGGTGCTGCAGGCCTCAATTACACTCCCCTTCATCCTCCTCACACTCTCTCCCACTCTGCCTTCCCCTCTCCCTCTCACCTCAACTGCTCTGCAGCAACATCTTAGAATGTGAAAATAATAACAATAATAAATAAATGTTTTTTAAAAATAATCAAAATTCTTATAACTCTGTTTTTACACATCCTAAAATTTTCTCACATTTCCTTATATAAACATCAATTCACAACCAAAACAAAATCATTTTATTTCTTCTTCTTATTATTATTATTGTTATTTTATTTATTGAATCAAAATTGATTATACATATTTTTGGGGTTCAATATTGAGATATGTTGATCAAATCAATATTACTAGCATATATATTATTACAAATTGTAATTATTCTTTATGTTCCTTGTCCAATCTCTCCCCATCTCCTTCCCGTACCCCCCTCTAATTATCANATATTATTACAAATTGTAATTATTCTTTATGTTCCTTGTCCAATCTCTCCCCATCTCCTTCCTGTACCCCCCTCTAATTATCATAGGTTTCTTCTCTCCTTCTGAAAGAATAATGGTTACTCTGTTGATTTGTTGCCTACATGATCTGTCCAATGCTGAGAGGTGTGATCAGATCCCTTAATATTATCGTAGAGCAGATGCTTCTTCTGTCACTCTGGAATGGGCTTTGTAGTGAGAGACATCCTCTTCTTTTCTTTATCTCTGCTGGTGAGTCTCCTTGTGTGAATGCACTCCAGTGGTTGGCGGACTTTCTGTGTGGTGGTTGTGGCATCTAGCTGTTTTCATGATAACCATGGTTACTGTGGGGGCTGTGGTGGGCCACCCACATGGAGGTGATGTTTTTGGCATGCCCCTTGGTGCTGGCAGTGTACCTGGTTGTGGGGTGTGTCTGGTCCTCTTCTCCATGCCTCGGGTCCCCAGACAGGCCCTGCGGCACTGGCACGGTGTGACTGGTTATGGGAGGGGGGGGTCCAGTCCCCTTCTTCATACCCCAGGTCCCCGGGTGGGACCTGAGGTGCTGGCGTGGTGTGCCTGGTTGTGGGATGAAGGTCCGGCCCCTGGCTCCATGCCTCAGGTTAATGGGCAGGGCCTGAGGCACTGGCACATTGTACCTGGTTGTTGAAGGGGAATCCGGTCCCCAGATCCATGCCTCAGTTCCCTGGGCAGGCCCTGAGGCACTGGCATGGTGTGCCTGATTGTGGGAGGAAGGTCTGGTCTCTGGTTCCATACCTCAGGTCCCTGGGTGGGCCCCAAGGTGCTGGCACAGTGTGCCTGGTTGTGGGCGGGGGGGCCGGTCCCCAGGTCCAATCCTCTGGTTCCCAGGCAGGCCCCAAGGTGCTGGTGGTGTGCCTAGGCCAGAACTAATTTTTTGTCCT